CAAACTGACTGAGGGAGCACTCGGTCCCCTCGGTCCAGATCACTAATAAATTTCTTGGGAAAGCTCAGACAGTACAATGACGAGATCCCTATATATAGCTAGACAAAAGGAAAAAGTGGGTTCCTCAGCAGGAGGTGAAGCAGAACAGGTCTTTGAGAACTTAGATAGCCACTTAGTGACTTAGGATAAAGGGAAAAAAAAAATTGATGGGAGGGGAATAAAACCTCTTTTCCTTCTGGGCTTGTACAGTGCCTGGGCCCAAAGGGTCTCCCATGGTATAAATGGTAACTCAAAGCAACTGGCAAGGACCCTCGCAAAGGGAGGATGAAAAAAGCCCAGAGGATCTGGGGATGTAGCAGAGAGGGCTGAAAAAAGCCACAGGTTTCCGCAGAGTGTAAGAAGGTAAAGCTGTGCCAAGCATTTGCGTGCCCAGAGAAGACTGCTCGGCTCTCCCTGTCACAGGGCACTTCATCTGCTTGTCACTTTGTCAGACACCTAAACATGCACATGGTGTTTGAAAATGGGCTGCTTTGTTTGCATCAGGCTGAAATTCTGGAAAAGCATCAGCCAGAAGAGGTGAGCTGCTTCTGAGAACAAGGCCAGGAAGCCAAAGGCACATCCTAGCAAGGATGCTTCCCAAAGCAGTTCGTGTGTCCCCATGCTTCAGAGCAGGGACCCAGAGTGATGGGGTGGTGACAAGAACACACCACAAGAAGCCTCACATCTGGCTGACAGAGAAAGCTGCGAAAAATATCACTACATATTTGTGGAAAAGACTTTTTTGAAGAGCTTTGTTGCTCACGTCACCGAAGTTTGCCTGTGCTACGCATGCTCCCGCTCACCTCGACCTCAAGGCTGACCAAACACGCTACCTCACCGAGTGATGCAACACTGTACAGATGACCTGCATGCCCCTAGCCAGCCCACAGCTGCTTTTACAGCCTGCTGCTCGTGTACCACAGCTTCTTCTGCACGTGCGCTACCCATCTGCCTCAGCTGCCGTCCAGCTCCCACGCTGACCCCTGAAGCAAGCCTGGCAGAGACCACGGCAAAGGCAGGATCTCACCCCACGCAATCCCCAGCAAGCGCCAAGAGGCTGTCGCTATCTTCCCCTCTGCGCAGCGCTCGGCGAAGCTCTGCGCTTCTAACTCACATGTACTAGGGACCTCCATGCTTTCCTCTTCTTCAGAGCCCTCGTGGCTTTCAGCCAGAGTCTCTTCATATTTACTCCACGAGCTGTCATCGGGACCAGGAAAGGAAAACTCTGTGCACAAGAGAAAGAATGACAGGAGTTTACGCTCACGCCTCCCAGCTGCTTTACAGAGGATTTCAGGAAAGATGGCCGCATGGGGTGAGAGCCAACTAGGAAAGCAAAGTCACCCCCATACCCAAGGACAGAGCTGGCAAAACTCAAGAGCAGAGGCAAGCAGAAGAGCGTAGGTGGTCGGTGGCAACCATGTGTCTGCTTTCCACCTCCCCACTGAGCCCTAGGAACCTTATGGCTCACCGGTGCTGGGGTCTGTAGGGGTTTCTCCTCCCTCAGAGTCATCCTGATCCTCTGTGTTGGGATCCTCTCCTTGCTCAATTCGTGACAGGAGGTCAGGCTTCGAAATGGCAGCATCTGCACATAAAAAGGGGATTAGAACATTTCCTCTGCCCTCGCGGGAGAGAGACTCTCAAATCTTTGCCCACCAACCTTCCTTCGCTGCTGGGGATGACGGGTAATGGAAAGAGAGGCTTAAGAAGATGCTCTCACACATCTGCACCGCTCACCTTGTCTGGGCCCTGGGAACATGAGCGGACTGCAGGAGCACACTCTGCTCAGGTGAGGAGCACCTCCCAGCCTGCAGCGTGAGGAGGAGAATAAGAAAATGCATCTGTGCTTACCTCCAGGCTTCCTTTCTTCTCCTCTCTGCTAAGGTCCGCGGATCCATTACAATGGGGACTTCAGCTCGGGGACAGCACCAGAGCTGTCAGCCAGCGGCAGCAGGGGAAGTGCCCTCCCCATGCGGTTCCCTCCAGCCAGGACCGCTCCATCCTACTCGTCCGAGTCACAGGCTGCTTGCGGATTTTGGTGGGGGAAAGGGGACAATCATAATCTCTCCTAGGGCGGAGAGCGGAAAACTTCATTTCCAAACAAGCGTGAGTCTCTGGGTATTAATTTCCACCGCTGCTCTGGTGGATCTGTTTGCCTTACATGAGGGCCTTTAAACCTCTAAACCTCATTACTCAAAGGAAACCTTCAGATGAAGCACAGATACATTTTTCTAAGCTCCAGGCTCAGATCCCCTTCAGCGGGACTGTTATGTTCCTGTGCCTCTAGAGCAGGACGCAGGACTGGTTTTTAAACAGGAGAATGGGGGCCAGTATTCATCCTTCCCCTTTTCCCCTACACACAGGGACTGCAGGAGACCTCCATTCAAAAAAATAAAGGGAAAAAAAAAAAAAAAAAAGGACAAAAGGCCTTGATCGGCCAGAGTCGGATGGCAGGGTGGTGGGTGAGCCTGCACACCAGCCCTGCACACCTGTGCTGAGAGCACAGGCAGGAGATGCCTTCCTACCGGGGACGGCATCTGCACTCCCACCCGCTGCACGCGGATGTCCAGCCAAGGCAAGGTCATTTCTCAGAACACACGTAGGTGCTCGTGAAGTCAATGCGTCGTCCCCCCCGAGTGTCTCCCCGCAGCCAGGACTGGAAGGAGCAAGCAGAGCACGTTCGTTTAGCTGCGAACACGCTGCCCTGAGCCACCGGAGGGGAAAGCAGAAGGCAGAGCCTGCCTTTGGCCTTTGCCTGCTGCTCCTCCCCAGCTCTACCCTGGCACTACAGGAGCAGATAAGGCAGCGGCTAGCGCAAGAAACGTTCCCTGGGATGAGGCTGGCATCAGACAGAGTACCAAGGCAGGCAGCTGACAAACCTCGCTCTCCTCCCTTACGAAAGGAGAGGCTCTGCAGCTGAAGGACGGATCACCCGCAGAACGGGCTGGAAGGAAGCTCAGGGGCAGGGCACCCCTCTGCTGCCCTAAGCGGCCAGCGGGCTGATGCACCCAGCGCAGTGGATCTGTGGATCTTTGCGTGACAAAGAAACTCCCCTCTTCCCCATCTTTACTTGGCTTGAGGGTCCTCTTGCTTCCCCTCCTCCTCACGACCCAGGTGCTTGCTTGGCTCCTACCAGCCGCAGAGACCATCAGGGAGATGCGGTCACTGCAGCAATGCTCGTGACATCCATCCACCGCTAAACTGAACAGTGAGGACTGAACTAATGGCCGGGGCTGCTGTCAAAAGTCGGCATAACGTGTGCCCAGACCAGCATGCCATATCCACCCTCCCCGATCCTGCCAGGCACAGCAGTGCTTCCATCTGCCAGGCCCCGGGAAAACCTGGCACATCAGAAGGCTCAGGGCAAACCCCAGCTTGTCTTTACCCATCGAGATGACGGCCTCGTAGTTGCCTTTCATGATATGCCTGTAAAGCTCCTTCTGCCACTCGTTCAAGCTCTTCCACTCCTCCTCAGAGAAGTTAAACGAAGCATCGTTGAATGCCACGGGGACCTACAATTAGAAGCATTGTATGCTCAGACGTTTTGCTTCTTTTTGAAGAAAACATCTGCGGACATTTTCTCATTCAAACTCCTCAAAGGACCACACAGGACAGTTCCACGCAGCAACGCCTGCTCCTTCCCAAGCACCTCACTTGACTCCCGTGCCTGGCTCAGGCAGCTTTGCCCCTGCCCGAGAGGGCCACAACGGAGTTTCCCCTCATCACCTGCCTGCACCTTGCCCCCGGCTCAGCCTCCCCACACTGCAGGCGATATCCTGTACACAGCGCCCAACATAGACTCTTTTCCCACTTCATTTTTGACGTAGCTCTGCTGCAGTTACCTCTGAAGAGGAACTGGGGACACACTACCAAACCTGCCAGGCACACAGCACTGAGCCACGCAATTCTGCACAACTCAAACACGGCTCCTGCCACGCTAAGGAATCTGCGACCCCATGCAGAGTGGGCAATGCATTTTGGTGGGGATCACATGTATATAATAAATGGTGCGTAATTAACTCAAATGGACCTGTGCTGGTGCTTCTCACCAAGTGCTAAAGGCAAGACACTGCTGCAGGGAAGCTGCGTCCCACCCAGCACCACAGCTGCTCTGAAACGGGGCTGCAACTGCAGAGTACATGTGGACCGTTACCTTGGGGACCTCCCCCTTCGCCCCCGGGGGCAG